CCCCTTCCCCCCTCCCTCCTCCGACAAATCGAAAAGCCCGGATACAAAATGCTAGATCAGGGCTGACGGTTCTTGCATTTCAGAGCTTTTAATTTTTCTTAATCCTATTGAAATGCATTTCAAAACACTTTAGCTTGTCATGTAGAGAAATGAAAGTGCCCTATTTAGAAACAGGAAAATGAAACATGCTGGCTGATTCTGTATTCATTTTGCCTTAATTTTTTCCTTCCTGTTTAAAAAGTTTTGTAGAAAAGACAGAACTGAACTAAATATTCATGTTTTGGTGAAGAAAATTCTGACCATAAATGTTACTCACTTCTGTCAGAAATTAAATGTATTTTCATAAATATTACCTGACAGTGGTATTTCAGATGATTAGATGGGTTAAAAGTTTTTTATTTTTTAAAAAATTTGCTTTAACAAACACAGATATATAGCAGAACTGAGAGACTTCCAATCCATAATCTTTTTTTCTAAAACATTTCATATGTGAAAAGGGAAGAAATAAAAGGCAAAAAAAAAGTAAACACACATCAAAGGTTTCACGTGCCTTGGAGGACTGTTGTGGTCTGTCTAAGTATAAAGTTGTGTTGGTATTTTGAATCAATGGGAGCTAACAAAAGGTACTAATTATCTCTAGGTCTGAGATTTCTGATTTCTTATCCCTACAGCAGTCAGGTCTGAAACATCAGAGAGGAAGGAGCAAGTCTGGGTTTGCCAAGGTTTTGATAAATTCTGCAGTGTTTGGCCTCAGCCATCCAAGTCCATTCTCAGCTCAGCATTCTCTGTAACCCCATTCATGGAAACGTGGAAACATCTTTGACCTCAATCCCTTGGAAACCATTTGCACTCTAATGATCAAGATGCAGCCCCTGGATTCTGCATGGTCTAAGCAGAATTCTGTCCCAAGGGCCTCCAGCTCTAGTACCAAATATCTGAACAGGAACTGGTCTGGATGATCCTTGTGTGCCCCTTCCAGCTCAGGCTATTCTGTGATTCAAACAGCTGTACTCAAAACCACCCTGCACTGCCACATATCCTGTGCTGCACCCACAAGTCCCAGATCTTTGCAATTTATGACCTGAAGTTTTAAGGCTCAAGTGAAACTGTCACAATGGAAAAATCCAAATCTTGTTTCATCTTTGTTTGATGGCACTGCAAGAGATGAGCAAACAAACAAACCGACCACATGTGAGCTCTCTTGGGACTTTTGTACCTCTAACTAAACATATACAATGGATTTTGCAACTAAAAAATGTTATCCAATGTAAATAACGGCTATTGCATTGAAAATGATATGCCTGGTATGAGCATCAAGTTACTTTGGAATTTTATTTCAAGTATTAAAAAAGCCATTTCACAAGAAGCAGACCTGTGTGATCAAAAAGCGAGATTTGGTCTGTATTTTAAGTAAATAAAACTAAAGTAAAATATCTGAGTAAAGTAAAATATCTGAGTAGACTTTTCTGCTTAATATGGTGGAAGTTATGCAAAGTTATGTTGTCAAATTCAAATTTTCCAAGATTAATTACAAAGGAATCAAAAACTGAATCTCTGCAAGCCTGCCAAAAGTTAGACTACCTTGTCTAAATCAATTACTTCAGAATAGCCATCTCCTAATAGTCCATGTGCTGCAATGCAGCTTCTTGGAATCTTACTGCTCCAGAGAGGGAAAAATGAAAATAAAAGCAAGCATAAGAAATCTCAGGGGACTGTAGCTTCAGGAGGCGAAAAATTGGTGCTTTTTGCTTGCCTGTCTCTTCCAAGTTTCCTGCCCCCTTCAGCGTATGAGAAAGGCAAGAAGAGTTTGTGCACTTTGGAAACTCGATAGGAGGCAGCAGCTGATCTTCCCATCACCAGCCTAAAAATAATCCACTCCAGGGCTTGGAGCGGCTTCATTAAGTGGAGGAAAATCCTGCCATCGGGATGATATTGATCACATAGCACCAAGTGACAATTTGGGTTGGTATTTTGGGGTTGTGTTTACAAAGGTAAGCTTCAGAGTTTGATCTAACATTTAGCAAACAAACGGGGCATGTGATGACCCTCCCCTCATGATCTCCCACTAACCACCTCCTCCTCCTCCTCCTTCCCTTTATATTTGTGGGACAGGGCTGCTCCTCGTTCTTTCCTGGGATTACAACTCCAATCTCTTTTTCCTTTTCCATTCGCGGGCATTCTCAGCTTTTACCGACCCCTCCTGCTGATATTTTCTTTGCTGCTGTTTACAGGGTTATGTTTCTTTTTTTGAACTGTCCTGTCTTGGCAATGTGAAGTCGAAGGTTTTACAACAGGCAGCGTAGCACGCTGGTGTTGGGGATTGCATTGTGTGGAGAAGCTTTCCAAAAAAAGAAAGAAAAAAAAAGCTATGCATTTAGATGTGTGAGACCACTGCAGATGTTTGTGTGAAACGCTTTGCAGTGCCAACAGCCTGTTTAGCACCACTGCCATTGTGATTTTCCCTGTGTTTGGAGCCTGATCCAGAAGGCTCCCGAAGTCAATGAGATTCTTTGCATTGACTTCAGCACTGTTTGGATCAGGCTATGGCACACAGCAGTTAGCGCTGCGAATGCTGACAAGCACCAGAGGTAATTCATCATCCTGAGGCCCAGGGGAGCTGGGACAGTGCTTAGCAAGGAAGAGGGGTCTGTGGAACATAGGTGGTCACAGCTTAAATAAGGAATAAAAAGAAAATTGTATTTTGTTTTGGGTCGTTTTTGATAAAGTAGAATTTAAAAGGACAGTGCTTTCTGCCGTTAACTCAGCAGAATTCTTTTCAAGACTATAGATCACATAGGTTGCATTTAAGTGCTTTTAGGAAGGTAAGAAGAGAAAACTAGAAGGGTTAAACCTAGAAAGGAAAAAGATTCAGAGAAGTAACCTAAAATCTGTGGAAAACATGTCAGGCCTTCCATTCAAAGCTATAAATTAATCATTTGTCCTTAGTTAAAATTTATTATGGGGAATTCCAGAAGGAAAGATAAATTTTACTTTTGTGATTTATTCAGAAGATAAGAACTAAGTAATTTTGTAAAACTCAGAGTATTTTCTTCACCCTGGACCTATATGCATACACATATGTATATACATACATGTTTATATGTATATATGGGCATATAATGCACATTACATGTAAGACCAAAATGAAATTTATCTGAATTGAGTATGCTTTGTAAACAGATATATTTTAATTAGGAAGTGCAACTATCAATTTATATATATATAATTTATTTTTTTTTTAAGTATGGACAACAGAACTTCTGCAATAAATGTTTTCAAAGTATCCTTATTCCCCCAAACAAGCTCCACCTGAGGAGTGTACTTATACTCTTTTTTTTTGTAGTCATAAGTACCTTGCAGAGCATGAGGATCAGAGTGATAATTCAGGTAAGAGGAAACTCTTGAATATGAAGATTTTTAAGTCCACTTTAAAAGACCCTTAAGGTAGTTAAAATGTCTTTAATTAGAATTCTTATAGTTTTGTACTTGGTGAGGATATTCTCATAATTTTAATGGAAATTTAGATTATCTACCATTTTCCCACTGTCTTATTCAGAAATGCTTATGCAAAATATATCTCATGAACTGGCTTAGTGCCCTGAGAATCCCCATTTTGCTTGTTAAAATGAGATTTGTGAGTGTTTAGGTTCAATGTTTTGTCATTTCCATGTTTACAACTTTGACCTATTTTCTTTCTTCCCAAAACTTCTCTCCTCTTCACAGGGAATATTTGTTCATGAATCACTTTTGTGCTGATTTCTGTTTATTCTCTTATGACTGTGTCTGTCCACCTTAGCCTAAAACCAGGAAGTCTCAACTTGCCAGTAATGGGGATCCTAGCATAACAATTTAAATGCTTAAAGAACATGAGGGGTTTTTAGCTATTTTACTGAAGGGTGAACTGCTGTTGAGATAGTTCACATCCTCATTAAAGTAAACCAACAGGGAATCAGATTCCCAAATGATGTAAAGGAGAGCTGAAGCTTACCTTCCACTGGTACCAATATGGGCCTGTTCTCCTGATTGTTCTTTCCATTCCCCTCCTCTGTGAAGTTTGGCTGATGGCTTTAGCTCATACTGACTATTCAGCACAGGCCATTCTCAAAGAGAGAAGGAAAAACCACCTCTGAGATCTCTGAGGAGTTGTAGAGTTCATAAAGTAAGAAATTAAAGTGAGTAATTTGACAGTAACTTAGAAAGCCTTCCAACCTACAAGTGTTAAAACAAAAAATTACCTGGCACTTGGCACTCTTGCTGGGCTGCTGAGTGCAGTTGGTGTCCTCAAATAGCACATGCTTGTTATCGATGATCTTTTTCCCATTACTACATTTCCATGTCTGAAATGATAGATTAAACCTAGCATGCTTGACAACATTATTATTAAGTACAACATTCCTGCTATAATTAGCAGTGAAACAAATTGTGATGTACCCACGTTGGTGCAATTACCCCAGCATAACTTGTTGGCCGACTATACTCAACAGTAAGTGAGACTTTCTCTGGGAAAGCCATTTTTTGTAATAACTAGGAATAACATTGTCTTTTAAAATGAGTTCAGGAGCATCTCAGCAGTTATTCAGAATAGCTGCTACCACCTGATGAGAAGCAGTGGTTCATAACTACAAAAGACCAACAAATTTTAAAATAACTTTCTACCCCTTCACATGTTTTCTCTGGAATAATGTGTAACTTTTAGGTTACACAATTTCTTTATTCAATGTGGCAGTTAGACTGCTCCCATTTTGTTCAGACATTGCTGTTTGCCAGTCAAAGCCATCTTCCTGTAGAAAAGCTTTCAGCTCCAAAGATTCCAACCTGAGCATGAGTTTAGAGAAAAAGTCAATCCCTGTGAGAAAAAGAGGCCTTTGTTTTCCAGTGCTTCTCCTTTCCTTTGGGACCCACAGATAAAGTTTTGCTAAGAGGCTGGTGGACATTTATCCACTGTTGTGTCCTTGAGACAGTCTTGTGTGAGCCAGCTTGGGAACTGAAGTGCAACTGCACTTGGGAATTGAAGGGCAACTGCAACAGTTCAGCTCTGATATTGTGCTTGATGTGAGCAGGGCTTCTTATTTTGGGAATAGCACCACAGTGATTAGGACTGTTAATTGTGAGACTGAACTATGTTTGTGTGGCTCTCTGCTGGACTGGAAGCCCACAGCAAGGCAGGGAGACCACTGAGAGTGATAAACCCACGTGACTTTGCTGCTTAATTCACCTGTATACCCTTCCAGGCAATGCTGTTTCCAGTGTTCCCTAGGAAGGCTCCTGGCAGGTGTAGTAGGATATCTGCTGTTGTGGAGTGCAATAACCTCTCTGAGCTGGAGCATTAAAGGCTTTAATTTCTTCCATCCCTGTAACAACAGAAATCTCTTCAAATTTCTCCTCCTGTGGCTCTGCACCCCAGTTTTACCTCTTTGATCTCTCTCTGCATACTTACTGCCGCCTAAAGAGTCTGTCTCCTCATCTTTGGGAAGGAGAAAATCACCTTTGGTCTCCGGGGTGGGACAACTTGAGTCAGCTCTGTATTCTGATTTGCTTAGGTCTAAGTCAAAGACCTTCAGCATTACAGGTTTTGTTCTGTGTGATGAGAATTCTGTCATTTTTTTGTGGGAAAAACAGAATAAGTAATTCAGTGTATTTAGTTATGTACTTGCATAAAGGTCAGCATAGAGAGAAACAAACAGCACTTCCTCATCTGGCCAAGATACCTCTTTTTCCCTCTCTACAGATGTAGTTCTGACTGAAGCCCAGCATTTGCTTACTAGAAGAGTAAAAGCCAAGGCAAGAATAGTTTAATAGTTTTATTTTTATTTAGGGAACCAAATTTGATCAGTGGTCAGCCATAGAAGTGTTCCATCTTCCTTTCCTGCTGCAATTTGCAATGAGTGACAGCAGTAAGCACAATTGTAATTCTTCAATTCTTCATGTTTTGTTTTTGTTATGTTTTTGTTGGGTTTTTTTTAACTAATTTTTCTTAATTTTCACATTTTATTTTCATTTCATGAAATTTTATAGTTGTACAGAAAGAAGAGAATGGTGTCTTTTCTCTCTTTCATTGGGTAACTGCAATCAATATCTTCAAACTGTCTTAATTTCCAGGCTCAGTTTTTTGAGTGAAAGCTTTCAAAACTAGGACTCATAAAAGTCAGTGTAGCTGAGACCTTTTAAAACTCTTTAAAATTCTTAGAATTATTAAAGATCTCTTTAATTTGCAATACTAAAATGCTGTTTAAAAGTGCAACTTTTGACACTTTAATTAGTCTGAAGCTTACACTGTTTGCAGCCATAAACTGAGGCTACACTGAACTTTCCAAACATGGGATCTGAGCATGGGCACAATAAATTTTGCCATTATACTATGAAATTTTTATTTGAAAAAGATTGAAGGCTACACTGTTTTCTTGGATGAGAAACTGCATCTGAAACTTGTCATCGTCCAACTCCTGTTATTTTTAGGCCGAATTGGGCTGATTTGCCTGCTGCGGCTAAGATGAGGCCGAGTAGGGGGAGGGTTGGGGTTTGAGATGGTGAGGAGAGTTGTTGGATTTCTCAAGTATTTATGGCGGAGGCTAGTCATGCAGTGGAGCTGCAAAAGCATTGTTGAAAAATGCTCTGTCTAGAGAAATCAAGGATTTGTTCTTCTGCCTTAGGGGCTTTTCTTTCTGTCCTTCTTTGGAGAAGAACACAGCTTGTTAAACTTAGATGTTAATGAAAATGAGCTTCTGGAGGCATGCTCTGATGCTGCAGAAAGTAATGGCTAATTTCAGCTTCAAACCAAAGGGCACTGACTGTAAATGCAAAGCATCCTCCCTTTGATATCAACAAAACTTCATCCAGTATATTTACCTTATCCAGGAAACTTGAGCCAAGAGGCAGGAACTACATTACATGCTTTATTCCAGGAGGTGATGGTTCTGTGCATCTCTCTACCTCCAGAGTCTCTCCTGTATTGAAGTTTTCCAAAAAACAGAGCAAGGTCCAGCAGTCTGAGTCACAAAACTGTGGAGGGTGTGTGGGATCTGCCTTCTGAACCAGAAATGGATGGGAGGGGAAGGATGGAATGGTTCTTGTCTCCCTACAAGGCAACTGGAGATGGCATTATTTCTCAGAGCTCTAAGGTAGTGCAGGTTGTTTTCATATACCAATCTTGAATATCCAGAGAACTGCCAGAAGCAGAAGGCGTTATGAAATTTGGCATATGCCAACAGATACAGAACATGAGTCCTCCACTTCCAGCCACAGTTCATTCCCCGCACAGTGGAGATGGAAAAGTGGGTGGAAGGAAGGACGGAAGGGAAGAAGGAGGGAAGGATCACCGGACTATTAATGCTTCCACAGTTCTTATGGACTCTATTCCCTATCAGTGCTAAACTGTACTGAATGTGTGTCCTGAGCTGAGTGCTGCTAAACAGGGAAATTGTACATTTTATAATTTGGCATTTTGTGAGGCCAAAGCTGCATTGGGAGACAACACAGCATCACAACACTGATCAGACTATTTAGACTAGAATCTATCTTTATATAGATTTTAAGCCTGTAGAAGTTTAATGAATATGGTCTTTGGAAAACTGACTCACGATGAAGTTTTCTGATCAAAAATCTTGTTAGTGTCAGTTACCCTGTCTCATTTCATTTTCCATGTAATCCTTTTATTTTCTGGGAATTTTTAAAAACTAACCAACCTAGGCTTGATTTTCTCTCTCTTTTTAACAGAAGGCAATTAAATTCTACTCCTATTTTTTTGTTAAATGAAAAAAAGTATTGTGAATAGACTGCCCTTCTCTTGAAAAATATCACCAATATGATGGGCATTGTCTCTAGATATCAGTATTAAGTAATAACACCAGGTTATTTTCTCTGTCCTGGCAATGTGCAAAGGACAATTGGTTTTAAGAATGTTACTGGACATACTCCATCACAAAATTAGGCACAGCACAGATTCTTGTGAAGATCCAGATGTGATTCTTCAAAGATGTATCTTGCACAAGAGCTTTCAGCAACTGTTGTTTGAGGTGTGATAGGAAACCTCTGCAAACTGATGGTGGTCTCTAGTTAGGAGAAAACACTCTTCCTGCAGTTAATAGACCTTCAGTTGAACATTTACTGCCTTTATTCTATTTCCCTTCCAAAAAAATGGGAGAAAAACAGCAGTTCGCTTAGCTTCCCTTGGATGTGGTTTTCATCCTTTCTCCCAGCCTGATTTTTGACTAAAAGCCAAAAGCAACACAGGGAGTCAATGATTCAGTGCTCATCTGAACCCAGGATTCTCCTGCCTTTCAGTACCACTCCAACCACTAGACCACAACAGCATCTCATGCTGCCTCAGAAGAGAGTCATCCTTGTGGGAAAGGGAGGAAAATTCCCAGCAGAACTCCCTTGGACTTATGACCTTTGATAAAAATGAGGAAACAGTACTTCTGATTTTCAAGAGATTACCATTATCATTATGTTTCCCTTAAAGAAGACATATCAAGCTTTCACAAATTAAACCCAAACAACCTCTGTGTAGTTTTTTTTTTTTTAAAGTTCCTTATTTGTTTTGCTAATAACTCCTCGATATATTGAGACAGATCTTGCATTAACAGAATGTTTATTTTTTGTTACTAGCCCTATGCATTCATAAATATATTTCAGTATAAAAATAAAATTATAGAATGATAGTGGTCATATCACTCTATTCATTATAGAGAATGGGCCAAAATCTCCATCAAATTGTGTTACAGCACATGGACTGTTAGCAGATGGTGGTTACTGAAGTTTGAGTCAGTTAACCCTCAGCTTTTGCCTCACAGTGAGTACATGAATGCGAGTTATGTCTAACTTCTGGTAAATCTCAGCCATAAACTGCTGATATATTTGGGAAAGGGAGCACATTTATCGCACTCTTTTCAAAGAAACTCCTCTTCACTGATGTGTTTCGATATGGGTTGTGCTTTTCAGATCCAAAAAGAACTTGGTTAAAAAGCTAACAAGGGGCTTCTTTGAATTCTGTATTTTTGTGAAGATCTGCATGTTTGTCTGTCTCTAAGGGGCTATTTGCATACTTTATGCTTACCTTTTTATTATCACCTTGTTTAAACATCTTACAGACCTAATATGAACTATTTGAGGAATGAAGGAAACCTTTTTCTCCCCATTCAACTGACTTTTTTTATTTTAAACTGCATTCATGCATTTTCTGCATCCCTATCTTGTTCTGATTCTGTAAAACCTATTAATGCCAATGTTCTTGCAGACAAATTCTGTGCTGGATTAAATATATTCCTTCTATTTTAGCATGTAAAAATTGAGAAAATAAAAAGGTGTGGATAAATGAGTTTTCACAACTTATTCTACAGCACTATGTTGCTCTGTGTAAGTCTCAGGTAAAGAAATGAGCAATGAAAGACTTTGTTTGCAGCCCTGTTTCATCTTCTTGTAAAGAAGACTGAAAAAATAAATGATGCACAGGTTGGTTTAAACCAGAACCTGCCCATAACTCTGAGTTGCTCTAAGGCCCACTCTCTGCAAGCACCAACACAGGAGCTTATCTTGGTGTACAAAGATAATCTCACAAGAAATTATGGAAGTCAGAGACTGTTGGGATGAATCTAAGCACATGTTTAAGGGTTTTCAGGACCAAATATATATGGTGATTTACTGCCTAGGCAATCTCCAGTACCACCTACTTTGGTTAAGAGTTTGTAATTTATCTGTAATGTCTTGTGTGTGTGGCTGTAGTTCTATGTGACAGTGAAGAAATACAAAATATCAGTGAGTGTAAACCTACCAGATCACAAATACCAAAGGTTCAGAGCTTGCACTGGGAAATTGTGGGAGATATTGCACAGATGGTGTTGGCTCACCAGAGAAACAGCAAAACACCGGACAACTTATGTCTATTTGGGTTTTGTTATGATAAATGGAACCACTAATTTTTCTAATCTTCTACTTTCATTCTTTATATTCTCACAGAGCTTTTGCATCATAGTGTTTGTGCCTACAATGAGCACTAGAAGTTATAGCATAATGTATTTAAAAATAGCACTTAAATAATGAATGCAGCTAAATATAAACAATATTAGCTAAATGTAAATAAGACTAATGTCATATGAACACAGTCTTCTAATGTGCTTATATTTTTGGGCTTGTATTTGACATAGCCCAAAATAATTTTCAAAATACAACTGTGTTATTCTCTATGGGATCTTCAGTGTGCTCCTTCTCTGTCTCTTTATTATATTTATTTTGTCTTTAGCCAAAGGGAATACTAGCAGTCTTGGTAGTCAACATTTTTCTCATTTCTGTAGTAGCCAGACCTTCTGGAAGAGATGAGACTCGCATTTTGTGGTAATGACAATGCCTCAGCCTACAACATCAGTGCTGGTGTCCTCAGGAATGTCTGCTTTGTGGATGCCCTCAACTTGGTCCCTCATGTCTTCCTGCTGTTTATCACCTTCCCAATTTTATTCATTGGTGAGTTATTCTATGGAGCTCTGCCCACAAACACTCCAGGTGTGTTTTTCAGTCAGTCATGTTTGCATGGGCTTGGTGAAACATTGGATGCTTTGTATTTATGAATTGTGAAAAATAAGAGGCGGAATGGCTTCACCTAGAAGATGTGAGGCCAACCTGCTGAAATGTGGGAATTTTAGATATAAATCTGAACTAATCATCATGAAGATATGGATGAGAACCAGAGAGATCAGATCCAAATGCTATGAAACTTTTCTCTGCAGAAGTTTTCTTTAGATTTGAAATTAGCAATTTGCAAACTTTGTTAGTTTTGGAAGACATAGGGCAGTGGGTCTGAATTTCCTTGAAGTTACATGAATTACAGAGAATATCCAAAATGTTCACCTTGGATCTAAGGCTAGGACAGGTGGAGGAAATATTTAAAATAGAAAAATTGCTTCTTTTGCCAACATTTTAAAATAAAAGCAGAGCAATAGAGATTTTTTTTTTTCCCCAACAGAAATAAAAAATAAGAAACAATAAATCCCTCTTGAGGAATTTAGGACAGTGGAGGGACTCTAACTCACAGTCTTGTAAAAAACCCCATCTAAGCTAGTATTCTAATGATATTTTTTTCTACAGTTGTCTTTTTATCCCAGTTCCTTTGCAGTGGTGAAATAAATACAATTTCACACTTTTCCAGAGAGGTCAAACAGTAGCATTCTAACCAATCATAGGAAATTAAGACACTTGAATAACCATCAAAAGTATTAGTGAAAATAAATATTGTCCTGACAACTGCATGAGAAATGCGATTCCAATTCTTCCATGTTAACTTCCTGGTGTTGCATGTGTAGATGGAAATGCATTTCCTCCACAAGGAAGGTTTGAATTTGGGACTGTATTTGAACATGAGATTTAAGGGCTTTCATGCAAAAAGACTCCAAAGTGGTTAAATAAAATGCTACAGGAACCTGTGGGCTAAGACACTCTGTACACAACTGTGACATGATCCAGTGACTAAAAACTAATTAAATAATTAAGCATGAGAATAAGAAACAAATTCTAACAAATTATAAAGACTAGAAAGTAACCCCAGGGTTATGGAAACTCTCTCCAACAATGCTGGATTTTTACCTCAGTGCTGGCTCTTCCTTCGAGCTGAGATGAAAGTCATTCTTAAAGGACAGGGTTTTATGCAGAAGTGTTTGATGGAAGTACACTGCAAGGTCTGAGGGTAGAGATAATATTTTAGAATACTCTAACATCAAGTGCTGCTTCAATTTTTTTGAGGTATTAGCATTTTGAAATAGTATTGCAGCCACTGAAAATTCCCTCTATTTTGTAACTATGTTAGGAAAAAATATAATATTCTAAATTGTATGTTATTTATTCAAGTATGTCATTCTGAGTTTTCTATTTTGTATGCTAATTATCAGGACAAATCATTGTTGAACAGAACATTAAAAGCCAGCTGGAGTCCACAGTACAGACTGGCTCCAAACCAGAAATTTGGTGATGAGATGTGTTTCTGCAGACGTGTGGGCAAAGAGAAAATGAAAAGTAGCTTGGGAGAGACAAAGACAGGAGCAAGGTTAAAGAAAACCACATGAAATTAGAAAAGTCTTAGAGAACTATAGAAAATGCTTTAGATAGCTATGGAGAAGACAGAATAATTTGTTCTTGCAGTATTTTGTGTCTTAAAGAAGGATGAAATGGTGAAATGCTGACAATTTCCAAGAATGAATAAACTTCAGTTTTGGTTTACGTGATCCTGAGTTACCTAATGAGCCTCTAAGCACGATGAGATGTTGCATCCTTGTGTAGCAAAAGCACATCCTGGGTTTTAAATCGAGTTAGTTTTGTTTCCTTTTGTTTGGTTTCTTTACTTCCCAAAATGTGTTGTTGTTTGGATTCTCTATGGGCTTAGGGAAGCCTGTCAGGGTATTCCAGGAGCTGCCTTACAGTAAGAGGGACTTTTAGGCTTACTGACTCAGGAAAGCCCTGTACCTGTGTGGGAAGAGACAGAGGCCAAGGCTTGCCACCATGAGAAGCCAACCTGTGGTCAGACCTCAGCTTCCCCAGCCCTGTCACCTCCCTCATATCCTCTGTGACCCACTTCTTGCTGGGTTGCTGGCCTCAGAGGATCTCGCCTGGAAAGGGCAGGTGACGTCTGAGGTGATGACATGGAAATAGGCTTCAAGTTTAATTTGTTGATTAATTTGAGTTGTGGCACTGTTTGGGAGCTCTGAAGGGCCAGGAATGCACAGGCCTCGGAGGCCAGGCTGCACCTGAAGGAGAGAAGCTGTGAAATCACTGTTCAGCCTCCACTCAGACTGTGTTCCCAACCAGGCCTAAAACAAGCCTGAAATATTACTTGTTTCAAGTAAATGCAACTTAGGAAATTTTTCCTCCTTTGTCTGTAACTGTGAGAGATGTGAGGATGCCATCATGTCAGTTCTTTCAGTCCCTGTTGTCTGAGGGTGCTGCTTGGAGTGGTTTATTTTTTGTTGTTGCTTTCTTATCATTTTTCTTGCCCAGGAACGACTTTTCTTTGATTGTAGTTTGGAAAAAGTCTTATTGTCTTCAGGGTTTGATTTAAATTACGGGGCAATTGAGACTCTCCTGGGTCATCTTTTTAGTAACAACAGCCCCTGTAATTTTGTAGGGGGTTTGTATCGATTGCATATACATGTGGCCCAGAAAATTGATAACCAGATCAGTCACTGACTGGCTGTGAGATAACTTTTGTCTTTCCTTGCTATCATTTCTCAGGCTGGGGAAGCCAGAGCTCCAAAGTGCAGATTCACCACAATACCTGGCTTCACTTCCCTGGGCACAACCTGCGGTGGATCCTGACGTTCACCCTGCTGTTTGTGCATGTGTGTGAAATAGCAGAGGGGATTGTTTCTGATACGTAAGTGACAGAGTTTGGTGGATCACCATGCTAATTGCATTTGTTAATGAACAATTAACATTTGTTAATGTCTGATGGGCTGGCTAGTAAAGCATCAGGAGGTTTTCCCCCAAAAAAGTTCATGGAATCCTTTAATGAACTGTCCAGGTTCTAATGGGATCAAGGTGAAGCCATTGTTCTTAGCATTTTATTCTTCTCTCAAGCTCTAATAGCAAGCAAATATTGATCGAATAAGCACTCACGAGGACACACACATTTTGCCTCTAAGAAATTCATGTTTGTCCTCTTCCATGGATTAGCAGAACACCTATGGTTTTACACAATGATGAAAAAAAGGCACCAAATTCACTAATTTATACTGTATTTACTTTCAGACAAATGAAATCTCGCCACCTGCATCTCTTTCTACCAGCTATAATGGGATTTGTGGCTGCCACTGTATCCATAGTCTATTACCATAATATTGAAACATCCAACTTTCCAAAGTTACTGTTGGGTAAGTCTAAGTCTGATATTTATATACTCTTAAAAATCCCAGTATTTTAGCTGAAGTCAGCTTGTTTAGATTGAAGAGGATGGTGGAATGTGTGAGAATATTAAAGCAGAGAAGAATAGCTCTCTGCTCTTGCAACTGGTAGTATCATAGGAGTTACTGCACCTTTCATAAGGTACACACTGAACACTACTTCTAAAATAATTACAAAAGAGAATGCTTGTTGCATTTTTATTGCGAGCTTTTAGGTTTTTTTTAACACTGCTGATAATTTTGAGGAAAAACTTGTCTGCATTCAAAAGGGCTATTTCAAAAGGCCACTTTGAGTAGTGATTACAAACTCTCCTGTGCAGATACTGCTTTTTCTCAACATCTTTTGCAGTTGATTCTGACATTATCTCATCTGCTCTCTCAGTCAGGAGATGGTCAGACCAGACATTGCAGATTAATGTTCCATACAAGTATATTGTCCAAATTGCATGTAGCTCAGCCACCTGAACAAGCCCCTGACAGATACTAGCCAGGATGCAGGATAACACTAAATTCCATAAACTCTTTTCCAAAATAGTACATATCCATATTCTCACTTGGGATACACCCTGCTTTTTCTAAGAGGCAACATGACTTTTGTTAAGTTATGTGCCTTTTCCTTCATTTTAAGAACAAAGTTTCCCTTCAGATTAAGTCTCCTTTAGTGGACTTCGTACCTGCATGAAGATTTGCCATTGTGGATCTGTTTGAAGGGTTGTGGCCCAGGAAAGAAAACAGTGGTTGGTGACATAGAGGATCACTGTGCCTGCACTGTTTCAAGCCATGGAAGCTAATAAGCTGTAATTACACTTATTTATTAATTTATTTTTAAATTATGCATGTGCACCTGTTTTACAGCCTTGTTCCTTTACTGGATAATGGCCTTTGTCACAAAAACCATCAAGCTTGTCAGATACTGCCAGGACGGGGTGCCTTTTTCTCAGCTGCGTTTCTGCATCACTGGAATCATGGTCATCCTCTATGGGCTGCTGATGGCTGTGGAGATCAATGTCATCCGAGTCAGGGTATGTGGCTTCTTCCTCAGGATCTGGAAGAATATCAGTGGTATCATGGGGGTAAAGATGTCTCCTTACTTCCAGAAACTCTGGCTTGTGTCAAGTTTAGGCCCAAGTTTAGCTTAGCCATAAAGATTTGGTTAATTTTGTGGAAATCAGTGGTGATTTAAATATCTTTAAAATGTATGTCCTTGATGTATCCCTAGGCTTGGTGTGTATGTGTTTGCCTGTGCGCATCTATCCACACAAAGTGCATACATATTTGTGTAGATAGATGTATATTTGTGTACATGAGGGAGGGTATAGGTGGATGCAATCTATAAAATATGTGCTGTGTTAGTGCTGATGAACTATTTATGTAGTGAATCTGTAAATTAACATATGTTCTTAGCAATGATAACTTAAAATAAAATTATCTCCCAAGAATTCATTTTTACTGTTGTTCAGCTTGAGATAGGTGGTACTGATAGGGTTCAGAACAATATCCACATCCCATGTTGCTCAATTGTTTGCCAGTTATCTGTCAAAATGGAAATAATCCTATTTGCATGCAAATTTATATTTAAATTCAATATATAATTACCTTTAAAAGAAAATTTGAGTCTGTGGTTGTCTTGCATATATATCTACTAAAAAATTACTATCAGTAAGACAATTTCTGAGCTCATGTTTGTCTGTTTTCTCCTCTGCAGAGGTATGTGTTTTTCATGAACCCTCAGAAAGTGAAGCCTCCAGAGGATCTGCAGGATCTGGGAGTGAGGTTCCTGCAGCCATTTGTCAATTTGCTCTCAAAGGCAACTTACTGGTGGATGAATACACTCATTATTTCTGCACACAAGAAACCTGTGGACCTGAAGGCAATTGGAAAGCTCCCAATTGCAATGAGAGCACTGACAAATTATGTCTGTCTCAAAGAAGCCTATGAAGAACAAAAGGTAGTAACAGGTGTCCATGTCACTGTTCGGTCTTAGAAAACCAAAGTGTCACTTGAATTACTTCAGCTTTCAAGAAATCCTTGTTGTAGGAATTTTTTATTTAGGACTGTTTGTTCCAAGGTGAAACATTGGCATAGGAAGTTCCAGTAGTTACTGTTTGGTTTTCAGTGAATTTATAGCAGGAGGAAGTTTCCAAACTGAGTGTAACTGGAAACTAAAACCACAATAGACTGAACACTTGCTAGATTTTAATAGTGAAAGATTTGTTTAAATCTTAGCTACTTATTAAACTGGAAGGCATTCTGTCCATAGTTTCAGCTGGAAACACTTATCTTCACCTTTCTTTCTTTCTTTTTTTTTTTTTTTATTTTTTTAAATTAATATTTTTAATTTTTTATTTTTTATTTTTTTTCTCCAGACAGAGAAATAGCCAAAACCACACATCAAGTATAGCCAAAATCCTGGTGTCTTAGCAGTGATTTAGTCACCAATCCCAAACACAGAACCATAGAGGCTGCTATGAATAAAATTAACTCCATCCCAGCCAGACCCAGTACAAGAAAGCATGGTTGGGAAAACTCACTAGGTAGGGCAGGATTTTCCAGGGGAACTTCTGGATGCATTTAGGCAGCTCTTTGTTCCCAGCACCTAATGGAGATGCAGGCTCCTTTCTCCTTCTGAGATGAAACAGTTATCAGCACAGTATTTTATATCTTAATAGGTATAGGTTGCTTGTCTTTCCTTCTGCATTTGAGGGTTACAGAGACCAGAGATAAAGATCCTTCTGCTTTAGGCAGAAAGCTACTGAGTTTTTGGAACTGAGCTTTTCATCGCAGCCTGGGAGAGGTGCATCCCTTAGACCAGGCCCTTAAGGTGCCTAAACCCTAATTAAAGAGGCCAGAGAGGGATGCACACCTACGTGGCCCAAGGACCTGAGTCTGTGCCATTCTTGATGACAGGCATGATAGCTGGGTGCCAGCATTTGTCTGTAGCTCATTCACATCTGCAGGTACTGTCTGTGCCTGCACAAAAATGTGGTTCAGTTGCCAAAAGGCAAGTCAAATGTACATTTCTTGTGTGCATGAGCACAAACTTCCAGTGTGTAGCCTCCCTCAGTGTGCGTCATACACATATAAACACTTGCATAAAAGTTATGTATGCATTTACACTCATCTACATTTCTGATGCTCCATTACATAGACATTTTGTGTTCTGTAGTTGTCTAAAGTCTTGAGATTATCACAGACTCTAGCACATTTGTGCTACTATTCAAAAACAGGCTACGACCCTGAAGTAAACTGGTATTTTGTAGATAAAGTAAACCAAATGGCTAAAGCAAATCCAAGGAGTCAGGCAGTGGGACTCACTGCAGTTCATTCCTGTGGAGAAAAGCATTGGCTTGTGTGTGATTGGGCCAGAAAACAGCCACAGAATTAGGAAAATTCTTCAGACTGATGTGTGGTCTGCAATCTGGAGGAGGTGATATGTCACTGTCTCTACTGCCAAGTGTGTATTTTACACTAATCTCCTGCAACTGGTGAGGGGAGCCCCACAGCCTCCTCTGAATTAAGTGGGGTTACTTCTGCCTGTGCCTGGAGATAGCTGATCTCAGCTTGTGCTCCATGGCCCTGCAGAGGGAAAACTCCTGTTCCTTCCCAAACCTTTCTCACACCTTGAAGAAAGATGCTGAATATGGTCCTGAATACTCAGTATTGTGATAGATCACATGACTTTGTCTTGCTATCTCTTCTGCATGTTATGAAAATAGAAATAATTGTATCAATTCTCACACCACAACATTCTATGCAAGCCCATAACACTCAAGGACCAAACTGGAAAACACATTATTATTAGAAAAAGGTCTTTCTCCCCTCTTCCTGTTACATACTTCAGCTAATATGAAGTCCTGATTTAAAAAAAGAAAAATAAGTATTTAGCAATAAATCAGATAATTTAATTAGTATTTTTTCCAGTGAAAAGGAAACAGATTTCATATAGTGATGAGCAATGTGTGAATTGCAGTAACAGTGAAAATGGTTCTTAAATTGTTAGAGAAATAAGGGTTTACTGTTGCCATTTAACAAATTTACTATTAATTCAATGCCCAGAATAATATGAAAATTTTTTTCCCCAAAAGATGGCAGCCGTTTACCCAATAAATTAACATAGCTCCTCTCAAGCTGGTAAAGTTATTAACCATTTATTTGAGGAGGATGACTAACTCTTTTAGGGCACTCAGGCTCAAAACCCATTAGGTCACAAATTCAGAGCCTTTTGTCTGGACAGCTTACAGAAGGCCCTTCTGCTCTTTCTGTCCTCAGAGGAAGCAGTTTCATTCTTACCCCTTTCTGAAATGCTAGATCTAATTTGACCCCATGGTGCTTTTTTCTCCTTCCTAAGCTCCTTGGCATTGGCCTGGCCCAGTCTCTGGCAGCCACCTGACTCACCTGCACATTTTTGGCACCTTGTATATAATCCATCTCACTGTGGAAATGGTATAAAAGGGAAAAACTGAGAAAAGAGGGGAAAAAATGACATGAGTCAGCCAGGCAGGTTACAGCCATGTTAGCTTTTTCTTTGGTGAACTTGCTGGGGCAAGGAGTAGTTGTTGCTTGGCTGTGCTTAAAATGTCTCTGTGAATGCTCAAGAGGGCTTGGCTTGGCTTGCAGTTTACAGGCATCTGTGCTACTTGAGAAATGACAGATGTTTGTTTAAAGTGTCAAAAGCTGCTGCCTGAAGTGCAAGGAAGCACTCTGCAGAGCATGGCTCCAGTCAGTAAAACTCTTCCTTTGTTAAACTGAAAGGACCTCAGAGATACCAGAATTCCTCTGATTACACAAAACCATATCTGCTGGTTGGTGTTTTAGCCAAGAGCTGTGATACTGTGTAAATTCACAGACCTGAAGGCTAGAAAGGACCCTTGGTTGATTTACTCTTACCTCCCATCCTGATCTGCTGCTTTTATCTTTTTGAGCACAGTTATCATTGATTGGTTGAAGTGTGTCATCCTGGAAGGCATTCAAGAAGTGGAAAAAATCCCAGATAAATTAAATTTAACTGTATTCTTGTAATTGTAATGTATTTTTCCTGCAATCAGAAGCCTTTGCATCTTGCGAAACCAGGACTACCCACATGAGCAAAGGGCTGAAAGGTCAGATTTTCCCTGAGCACACATGTGACAAGGGACAGTGGCTGCCTGCCAGGATGATAATCTGTGCTTGCATTCCTGTGTTCACAGATTGAGGAAAGTGGTGGGATATAGAAGTGAGAAACCAGTTACCAAGGGGAGGCAGAATTAGAATTTGCTGTGAAGAATGTCTGAAATATGTTGATAATTACGACATGTTTGCTGCCTCACCTGGTCCAAACCACCTTTCAGGAGTCTTTTGGGCATCCAGGAGTGTTGCCTATAAAGCTTGGGAGACTTCTCTTAATGCATTGTGTACCTGTTTCTGTTTTTCAGAAAAAGGTACAGGATCATCCCAACCGGAGTCCTTCCATTTGGTTGGCCATGTACAGTGCTTTTGGACGGCCAATCCTGCTCAGCAGCACATTCCGCTACCTGGCCGACCTGCTGGGCTTTGCTGGGCCACTCTGCATTTCTGGCATTGTTCAGGGCTTCCAGAACATAACCAATAATACAAATACCACAGAAAAGGTAACTTGACAATGTGTATTGGAAGGCTCTGGTAGTAGTTTTAGAGTCATATCAGATATCTAAGATACCTGGTTGCATGCTTTGATAGGTCTGTGGTCATCACAGTTATTTCATGGTTTCAACCAAATGGAGTATTTCTGTTGTGAGAGACAGTCAGGTTATAAACCTGAGCAGTGGGAGCCTTGGTAGGAGTAGAACACAGATCATGGAGGCTTCCCCTAGCTTCCCAGCTGTCTCTCTTGATGGAGTCATCCCAGCAGTTCTGGGAAGAAAGAATGACTTTTTCTGCTCCTCTTTAACTGTGCCTGTTAGTTTCAGGCAGGACACACACTGGTGGTGCCTCAGTGATGCATCCAGCCTGGGGATTTTTCTTGACTCCTGTTGATTTGTCAGTTTATACTTCACTGACAGTTTTGAGTTCTCTCAAATCTGTTTTTTTACTGGGAAGATGACAGTAGCCAGCCTCTGTTTGTGGCTGATTGTATTGCTTGCTGTTGTGATGAACTGTGTTGGCACATACCGCAAAATTGAAAAGTATGCACTTTACTCAATGGTGTTCTTGATACTAGAGATGCACAAGAGATGCCAGATCAGTGCTCATTTCAAGTTTCACTGGGACTGAACTTTCAGGGATCATCTCTAAATGCTGAGCAAGCCTCTGATACAAAACATTTTCTATCACAAGAAAAAGAATTTATGAAAAGATACAGGTAAAATTATTTTACTGACAGCAGAGAAGAAATGACAAAGGCATTTTCCTGCATTTGTCTTCTGACAGAGAAATATCTCCATACAGTTTTTGAAGTGTTTTATCTCTGAATGAGCAGATGGATATATAATGGATTAGTGTTTCCCTGTCCAGATATTGACTATCATCACTATCCAAATATCTTTTTCTTGGCTGCTCACTCCTGACATCCATTTTCTTGATTGATGGTTGCAATTTGACTTGAGGCTTTCAATGCACTGAAGGAGAGTTTAATTGTACAGCTTGTCAAACAAAGATTTTTATCATCTTTGTACCTGCACATTCTGGATTTGAGCAACAGAGTTACGAGGCAAAGTGCATATTTTGCCTTCAAAAATATTGGAGGTTTTTGCATGGTGAACAAAGTATTTGAGCTTGAAAATAATTTCTGGATCTCAGATTTAGGAATCTGTACCTTGTCTGCTTCCTTTATCTTTTGTGCTCTTCAGTGTAGTGGTGTCAGCTGTGGCTTTTTAATGAGCATTGGCTAAAGGGAAGATTGAATCACTGGAGTTCTTGAAAGCACTTGCCTTGGTGACAGTCACTATTTCTCTTGGATACATTTCAGAATGTATTTGCCTATAATTTATGGATTTTGATAAACTTTCTCTTGGTTGTTCTTGCTATCAAACATTTTTCCTTTAAATCTCTCTAGTTTCAATTAATGCGAATACATTTAATTTTATACTTATTCTGCCTTAATTCCTGATAATTCTATATACATTGAAAAAAAATGTTATTTTCTTAATGATATCCCCACTATGAAAACAAGGGGGAGTTAGATGCAGCAGAACACTAAGAGAAAAGTTTTCAAATATATTTATCTCACTATTCATGCACTTAAACAACCATTTTTTCAAAGACTCTTGGGCAGATGGTTTTCTTTCTTATATGCCCATACCTGTCATCTCAGAATCAGGCTGGATATTTCAGGAGAACAAGGGTTTTTCCCTTTTTCTTCTTCTTCTTTTTTTTTTTTTTTTTCCCTGTAAAATTTCCAGTACATCCTGCTTCCAACTGGGTCGGAAATACCAAAGGAACAGTCTTCCTTGGAGTATTTTGGTACATTTGTTTCATTTTCTGCCTGAAATAGAGCTGAACAGTGAACACAAAAGCTAGAAAATTAAAACAAAGAGCTTTAAAAAAGATTTTTTTCTCTTCGATGTTGAAGCATTTAAACCTAATTTTGTGCAGAATACTGGCATATATAATCTTATATTATTCAGAATTTATGGCTATCATTGACTATATTTGTGGAAGGAATTGTTTCCATGATATGAAAATGCAACATAATAACTAATCCCATATATTAAAAAATATTTTCTTGCAGCTTCTCTGTGGGGCAGGTGGAATGAGCTTTATTTCCTGCTTAGCATTTCTATCCTACAAATCACCAGAATTTGATAGGGAAACTAAAGACAAGGCAGACATGGTGATCTCATTGTTCCTTTCCTGCTAAAACTAAATTATTTTAGAACTGCTAAAACATCTTAATCCTCAGTCTTTTGACCAGGAGTGGAGTTTTAAATTTGTATCCAAATGATTTTTGATATAGAGGTCAGTGAGAAATCTGGTTTCTGTAACTTTCCCATAATACCATCATTATGTTTTATTCTAATGCAATGATTAAACTTGCTTGTTTCCAACTTTTCAGGAATATACAGTCCCTCCTATGGCACTTGCATGATTTTTTCCTTTCTATTCAGGTGAAGGATCCATCAAACTCCTACCTTTCATCAGAGGAATTCCTCAGGAATGTTTATGTCTTGGCAGTCCTTCTCTTCCTGGCCCTTATTCTGCAGAGAACATTCCTGCAGGCCTCTTACTATGTGACTACAGAGACTGGCATCAACCTCCGGGGTGCCTTACTGGTGAGCAAAGATCTGCCAGAAGATTTACTAATAACAGCTTCAGCTTCGTGCTTTCATTTGTCCTGTTATCTGAAGACTGACTTGAAATCATGGTTTCAGAGAAGATATGTGCTGTATTTTTATACAGAAAACTGGACAAAGTAGGGCTGGCAAACTGCTGGCAGCAATTCCTTTTACTAAAAACTAATCCCATTATTCTAATCTGTTGGAAGTTTAACACCCATAAAAACCCACACATATAAAAACATATCTTTGCAGATAATGAGAGATAGATGAAGATCAGCAGTGTCATTTTGGCTCTGCGTCTGCTTTGTTCATTTGCTTATGAGTTTGCTTCTGCTGACTGTGGACAGAGTCATCTGCAGAGTGTCCTTGTTTTATGGGAATGCTGTGCATGCATCGGGAGTGGTAACTCTAGATATTTATGCCCTTTAGCACAGAGCCCTGTGGGATGGGAGTGATTCATCTGCAGGGCTGTAACCCCAGCATCCCTTAACCCTATTGTGAGAGCCTTATTTATGAACTGGAGCCAGCAGCTCTGGCCTAGCATGTGGAGGAGGTGTAGCAGGGCTCTGCACAAACCAAACTCCATGGGCAGTAGTAGCAATCCAGAAGCAGGAACTGATGTTTTGCCAGATGTAATTTACCATGGGAATATCATCTCAGCATAGAAGCTTTTTTTTTGTACTTGCTCTGATTGATGGAGCGGCTTCAAATATTTTCTGCACTCTCCCAGGATAGATGGTACAGACTTATGGATGAAATAGCACCTGATTATTTCCTTTTTGTGACTCCTTTTTTGTGACTCTCACTTATCAAAATTAGGACTCTTAGGAGCATATGCAGCTGATTTAATTCACCAGGCATTTCTGATTAATTCCACAGGATATACTTTTTTCATGAAAATAAATTTCATCAAAAAGGACCAATTATTTTTTGAAACTTCCTTGGAGCTGCAGTGTTTGATATTTGGTCATAACTGCAAACTGGGCTCACAGTATTTGTCTTTAAAATTTAGATATTAGCCCTGATTAATTTTAAGCCCTGTTAAACTCCTACAAATTTTATGGAAAGGAATGGCCAGGTAAGCAAGAGAAATCCAAAGGAATGTATACCCACTCTGATCAAACTTCACAGCATGAATTTACCTGTCTTCTCAGAAACAAGGATCTCTTTGACAGACAGTGTCACAGAAAAGCAGGCTCACCAAATGCTTGTTAAAAAAGGTTCTTTGGCCGACGTCCTAAATTTGGTATTTTGTTGTCATTTTTTGTTCTATTTTAGGTTTGTGTTAAACAACAAACCTTTTAAGAAGAATTGGAATTTTTTGAAGTCAGTTGTCTCTCTTGTGCTTTCTCTCACTCTGTCTCTAACTCTCTCTGTCTCAGGTGAGAGACTGGCAGGAGGGCTGTCTTAGGCAAAGGCTGAAGATGTAGTTTGAAACATTGCACTACTACTATTCTTTTATAATTACATCATTTTAAGGACTTCCTTTCCCCCCCTCTTTCTTGCAGGCAATGATATATAATAAGATCCTGAGGCTTTCTACATCCAACTTGTCCATGGGAGAGATGACACTGGGACAAATCAATAACTTGGTTGCCATAGAAACCAACCAATTGATGTGGTTCTTGTTCCTGTGCCCCAATCTGTGGGCAATGCCTGTCCAGGTAGAGCATCCCAGTAAGCGCCTGATTTCAGAGATCCTCCTGCCTGGTTGAGGAGAGTGCATGTCTGGGATACTGCTACAAAATCCAGAGGGGAACCTGCACTTCCAACTAAGATTAACAAACAGAAAGGTGGCCCAATGGCTGAAAAGCTGTCTCTCCAAGGGCCAGTGAAGAGAGAAGGGTTTTTTAGCAGGATTTCCATGTCCATGACTTGAAGAATGAGGACCTTTTCCTGTTCGTATTTCTTCCACTGCTGACACAAATCCGTTGCTTTTATTTTGCCACCTGGCATCAGCCCTAAGCATTACTTCTGTAGTGTCCACTTGTAACTGGGTTTTGTGGCAGGACCAACAGCAATTGAATCCTGCTCCACGGCTGAATGTAACAGCAGCATCAACACTGACACTGACAATGCTCGAGGAGCTCTCATCTAAGCACAGTTAGTCACTGAACACTTCTGCTTCTTAACAAGGCTGGGAAAGAAATGGAGGCAAATCTGTAGGAAGGAAAGGCTGAGATGATTTAGCTTGAAAGAAATCTTCCAAAATGCCAATAACTTGGCATTTTGGAAGATTGCCAATAACATGATCTGAGACATGCTGATTTTCCCTGAAGCTTGGACTCCTGTTATCTCTTCAGAATTTTAGCTCAGGGTGTGTTTGGCACGGTCCTTACCTTTCAGTGATCCCACTGACATTAAAGAATTTTTAAAAGGGGCAGAACCAACTCTTATAGTAGATCTGTTTTGCTGAATTTCCTGACACTGTATCAGTAATCTATTTTATTTGTCAGCAATTACTACTACTGATGGGTTGGGTAGGGTTTAGAGTGTCATTAAATACTTTATGAAAAAAAGGCAAAAAATGCTATATGGAAGTAGAAATTAGAAATAATATATAGGGTCTCATTTCACTGTTTCACATCCTGTGAAGTGGATGGAAGTGTTGCTATCAATACTTTGAAAGTTATTAAATGAACAAGTGATCTGGTTATTGTGGCTAGGTATCGTAATTTGCAGTACAGGAGCCTGGAAAGCTAAATAGTACTTTAAAAATGTCAAACTCCATTGATTCTTACTTCTGACATTGTATAATAAGAAGGGAGATTTCAAGACAGACTTGTTTAAGAGATAAAAGTATGAGATAGGCAACTAATTCTGTATGCCCTCTTATCACTGAGGACATCTCTCTACCGCAAAGTGGAGCTTTTTATAGAAATATTTATATAGCAGCGCTTGAATTAACTCAGGAACCAGAATCACAGCAGTCACACCACAGCCATTCCCAGGTAAGCTTCTGTGGGAAGTGTTCCCAAACCCTTTGCATGCCTAAGGCAGCATTTTCCTCCAGAGCTGCATGGTATTGATGCCTACGCTCAGTTTGTGTCAGTCCCAGCACATCTGCTTTGTGCTCCAGTGCCTGTCTGCAATGTCCCTTTGCCTGCAGTTGCACAGGGACACTACAATAGAATGCAACTGTGGTCCATGACAGACCTAAGACCTCTGAATACTTCCAGAGTGAGGTAAGGAGCTCTAGTGTAAACAGGACTTGAAGCCAAGAACACTGTAAAATGCCTCAGGGCAAGCACCATCATTTTAGTGCTCCTTTAGTTTTGTGGAAACCCAGTCTGGAAAGGCTTCTGGGTTTATTTCCAACACTTTCCAAATGTGATCTCCTGAAGTATGGGCTCAGTTGATTCCTATGAACCATTTTGAACTATTTAAGTGTTTATTAGAAGAACAAACATTTTTTCTCTTGGTGGTTCTGGCATATTGAAATTTACTTTTTTTTTTTTTTTTCCTGTGTTGTTTTTCTCATCACAGATAATAATGGGTGTGATCCTCCTCTATAACCTGTTGGGAGTGAGCGCCTTGGTCGGGGCTGCTGTCATTGTTCTCTTAGCCCCCATCCAGTACTTCATAGCCACCAAGCTGGCTGAGGCTCAGAAGAGCACTCTTGTAAGTGAATTATTTTAGTAATATTTGTGATCCAGAAATGAGAACATGGTTTCTGGGTTCTGTTCTTGTAGTTAGTGAAAACCACTGTGTGCATTTGGGCCAGCCATCCCTCAGTTTCACTGCCCCTCCCTGTCTGTTTTTCTGTGTCTCAGTTTCTCTTCCTTCCTCAAAATCCGTCAGAAGAGAATCTCAGAAAAGTATGTGAGTCTTGACCTGCCCTCTCTACAATGAGTATTTTTAATCCAACTAACACAATTTTGTCTGAATTCCATTCCATTAGAGTGTTATTCCCATATGCAGATGTTGTATTTCATGGGATGTTAGCAAACAGTGCAAATGACTGATAAATTGTAATAGGAAAGTATTAAAGAATGTGTGCAACCTCCCTCTGTAAAGTCTAGAGACATTTTACTCTCAGCCAAAGCTTTGGTATTCTCTAAAAATCAGTTGGCACTGCTGGATTATTATCTATTCATATCTAAATTCTTCAGTGCTGTAAGTTTGTTTTTCTGCCTCATTTATTTCACCAATTAGAAATGTTTCCTGCTCCTTTGTCTAATTTTTAACTTTATTGCTGTGACCCTTGAACTTTTTAAGTAAGTCTTTCATGCTTAAGTTGCCAAATATTTAGAGGTCCTTTTTGTCTCAATATTTGTTAAACAAATTATTGATGCATGGATCTAATTGTCAGCATACTTCAATCCTGTTGAGTTGTGCCAGTTTTTATAACCTGTACAAATTGTACAGAGAATTTTTCTCTGCATAATTTCAGAAATAATCCCAGTCTTTCCTGATGCTCTATTCTGACTTTCTCTGATTCATCTTTTGGATTATGATTTTACCAAAACTCATGATTTTACCAAAAGTTATGATTACTGTTTACTGGTGAAGGGAAACTAGCCAAATACATTGATAATTATCTTGCTTATTTTCACAACTGGATCCCAGAATGATTCTTGCATCAGCAAATATACACATTTAGGTTTCTGTCTATTGTTATGGACACCATTGACCTACTAACCCACCTCCCTGAGTTTCATCCTCTCTTTGAAGGACTGGAATGTTTTGAGTTATTTTCTTTGCAGAAAAGGGTCACTTAATTTCCCCTAATGGTTGTAAATATTTTAATACCTCAAAAGAAAATGAAATTTTATATTATTTTTCCCAGTATGGCATCTGTACAAAATCACAAACAAACAAAATTTGTTTTTTTAGTGAGGAGAAAAGAGGTTTGTCATTAAGATTACAAATAGTTATCAATTTTTTTCCCTGGTTTTCTCTTGAAATGAAGGACTATTCTACTGAGAGACTAAAGAAAACCAATGAGATACTCAAAGGCATTAAGCTATTAAAGCTGTATGCCTGGGAGCACATATTTTGTACAAGTGTGGAAGAAACGAGAATGAAAGAGCTCACCAGTCTCAAAACCTTTGCACTTCATACTTCTCTTTCCAGTAAGTAACTGTCTTTTTAGTGCTCAGAAAAGTATCCTATTTTTCATGTCAGCATTCCTCCCAACTTCAACTGAAGACAGATGCAGGTGTGCCTGTGACACTTCTGTCTGTGTGTAATGTCATTAAAATAAAAAGGCGTGATAAATACATAACACAGAAATTCGAAAGGATACACTACATATTGTTGATTTTTTTTTTTTTTTTCAGTAAGTTTTCTGTTACCTTCATTGTGACATTACAGCTACAAATTGCTTTATAGTAAGGGGACTCCAGATAATACTGGCAGCTGTGACTGCAGCAAAGATAAAATGTGTTTTCTGCATATAAATTGTCTTTTATGAAATGTAAAAGGATTGAGTAATGCTTTACTTGTGTTTCATATTAATTGTGTACTTAATGATTTTTATCTTAGTTTAGTAGAGTAGACAAATGAGAGAATTTCATGGCTTATTTGTTGGTGTGTTTAAGTTCTATGTCTCTCAGGGAAGGAAATGTTTTCCTGCAGACTAATTATCCTTTTGGAGTTTAAATTACTTGAATTGGAAATAACTGGATTGTTTTAGTGTCATACACTTATTATAAAATTGATTTTTCTTATTTCCTATAATCTGATACTTACTTTATTTCTCTTCCCCAGTTTTTATGAATGCAGCCATACCAATAGCAGCTGTTCTTGCAGTAAGATATGGATTTTTTTTCAGTTTTACTTATAAAAAAGGTAGAGGAAAGTGGGGGGAGGGGGTGTAAAAATGAAGTCCACCATTGTTATTGTAGGACATATTCATAAAACCAGCAGATGAATTAAGGGGCCCCTGATAACTGTAGGAGAACATAACACTGGACGCTTTCATTCCCAGCAGGTTCATTGGTAAAGAGAAAAATAATTTTTTACTATAAGAAAAAAAATCATTAGATCTCGAATTTTTTATTAAAATGGAGAGGAGAGGGAGAGGGAGAGGGAGAGGGAGAGGGAGGTGCGGGAAGGTACAGGAAGGTGCGGGAAGGTGCGGAAAGGTGCGGAAAGGAAAGGTGCGGAAAGGAAAGGTGCGGAAAGGTGCGGAAAGGTGCGGAAAGGTGCGGAAAGGAAAGGTGCGGAAAGGAAAGGAAAGGTGCGGAAAGGAAAGGTGCGGAAAGGAAAGGAAAGGAAAGGAAAGGAAAGGAAAGGAAAGGAAAGGAAAGGAAAGGAAAGGAAAGGAGCGGAAAGGTGCTGAAAGGAAAGGTGCGGAAAGGAAAGGTGCGGAAAGGTGCGGAAAGGTGCGGAAAGGTGCGGAAAGGAAAGGTGCGGAAAGGAAAGGAAAGGTGCGGAAAGGAAAGGTGTGGAAAGGAAAGGTGCGGAAGGGAAAGGAAGGGAAAGGAAAGGTGCGGAAAGGAAAGGAAAGGTGCGGAAAGGAAAGGAAAGGTGAGGAAAGGAAAGGAAAGGTGAGGAAAGGAAAGGAAAGGAAAGGAAAGGAAAGGAAAGGAAAGGAAAGGAAAGGAAAGGAAAGGAAAGGAAAGGAAAGGAAAGGAAAGGTGCGGAAAGGAAAGGAAAGGAAAGGAAAGGAGCGGAAAGGTGCGGAAAGGAAAGGTGTGGAAAGGAAAGGAAAGGTGCGGAAAGGAAAGGTGCGGAAAGGTGCGGAAAGGTGCGGAAAGGTGCGGAAAGGTGCGGAAAGGAAAGGAAAGGAAAGGAAAGGAAAGGAAAGGAAAGGAAAGGAAAGGAAAGGAAAGGAAAGGAAAGGAAAGGAAAGGTGCGGAAAGGAAAGGTGCGGAAAGGAAAGGTGCGGAAAGGAAAGGAAAGGAAAGGTGCGGAAAGGAAAGGTGCGGAAAGGAAAGGTGCGGAAAGGAAAGGAAAGGAAAGGAAAGGAAAGGAAAGGAAAGGAAAGGAAAGGAAAGGAAAGGTGCGGAAAGGAAAGGTGCGGAAAGGTGCGGAAAGGTGCGGAAAGGAAAGGAAAGGAAAGGAAAGGAAAGGAAAGGAAAGGAAAGGAAAGGAAAGGAA